TGCTCACATTCACTCCAAGATAGGGAATCATACCATGTTTTGAACATGTTTTTTACTTTGTTGAGAATGAAACATTTAACTGATGCTGTGCAGACAAATTAAAAAAGGTGGAAATGCACGTCGAATCAATGAAATGAATTTGTACTCATCTCCGCAACTGTTAGCATTGTTTTTTCTCCATATGTGGATCCATACATGTTTAAAATCATTCTACGAAATGTGCCCAACTGAGCTGTCGTCGTCAGTCATTCGATAAATCGCTCCAGTTTTAAATGTGGTCTTTCAGGAGGAATGGAACACAACAGAGCTTCTGTATGTGACGACTACGGTCAAAACAAAACTGATTCGTATTCAATTAATTTAATTCAATAAAGGGGATTTATTATGAGTGAAATGAATAGAGTCATCGATATTTCACGAATTTTCACATTCACTGCAATCGCATCATTGTTTCTACTTTGTTTTTCGTTAAGGCTGCCATATTGATTTTGTTGGAACAAAGTACAGCAAACAAACTGAGGCCTAACCGGTCAGTTTCAAATGTGTTTATTCAAAAATGGTTGGATTGCTAGACTATTTTTTGCCCTCAAGAAAGATGGGCGATTGTAATACGCTTGGATTATCACTCCACCAGCGAAATATTGTCGAATCAGCCTTTACGGTGTTGCGGATTTCGTTGGTGTCAAAATGCATGATCAAGTGGAAAAACGGGAGCAATGCATAACACTCTACAATTCTGCTCCTTCAAAAATCAGACAGTTGAAGGCGTGTCACTTTTTTGCATTAGCCTCATTCTACTGCTTTTTGACAATATTATTAGATTCACTCCCCATCCAAAAAATCGATTTGTACATTAGAAAGCAATGTCTCGGCTCACTAGGGGGTAATTGTCTGTTGTAATAACTTCCAGTAAATATCCCACGAGTTAGTCGAATCCAATAAGAAAACCGAACCGATATGGATCGAATTCAAATCACGTCATTACACACAACTGTAGTAATTTCGATAAATGTGGCCTTTTTAAATCCACTATGTCCTACTGTTGAATAGTTTTCCAATGAGCTTTTGGTTCTCTTTTAGTAATCACTTGAGCCCACAAAAACATTTACCCACCCCCACATCGCACTACAGCGAACATTATTTCCACATAAGACTACACTGAGAAGCAGCGATGCTTTGTCTGAGGGAATCTACCGCAGAGTGCACAAAGAAAGCGTCTCTTAGCCTAGTTGCAAAACATTTACACTTTTATTCACTTGTGTCATGGGGGCTGAGGTTAACAGTGAATCACTTGTGTATACCTCGTGGATGCTGCTTCCCGTGTGCGAATGCCAATGTTCTTCGGTTGAAAATGGAGCCAGATTCCGCTGGTATCCACGTCAACATGGTCGTCACCAGTTTGGTAGATTTATTTCCTGGGAGGTGTACCTTTCTTTGGCACGTGCCGTGAATTTACATCGAATACCGTAGTCCATGTGATAAAAAGCCATTAATCACATCGCTGTCAAGCGTTTTGCATTTGGGGAGTGTCTCAGTTCTCTGCTTACCTCGACCGTTCCGAGTCTCGTGAGAGAACTCCCGGTACCCCAGTGACAATCAGCTGATATCGGGATTGACTAAAATTACCGAGTAATTTTATTAAGCTGTCCTGTTCAGAGAACGGCAGTCAGTCACTGGCTGGCTAGTTGACTCGATAGCTTAAATGGTATTCTGCCTGTTTGATCTGGTCAAAGCTATCGGTTATTTCTGTTATCTTTGTATCTTGTTTAAAGTAGCGTTGATCTCAAGGGTAAATGTATCTATAGGTCTCATATTTTGGCGATAAATATTTTGAAGGAGTGCATGTGATAAGACCTTCGAGCGATTCTCTCAACCACTTCCACAACCAACAACAACAAATTATTTGTACATTATTGGGAACTCATAAATATTTGTATGGTTTGTAAATATGAAACCTGTTTATTTATTTGAGGAAAGGAGAGATCGAAAACTGTAACTGAGTTATATCGGCGACAGAACCTGTTTTTATGTCATACTGACACTGTTCAAGACACTGTCTGCAAAAGTCAAGAACTTGCTCGATTTCATCATGCGATAAGTCATCCGTTCACCTCGGGCACATTGGTGCATCGATGAATGTGGCCCACTCTATGTTTGCAATCAGAAATAAAATCTTTAAGTCAGTAAATACAATGCTATCTAATTTGTAATCGCTTTATCCAAAAGACGTTTTATATTTAACATACATCTAAGCCTATTAACGGCCTCTACTTGTTGCAAGTAGCCGCCACTTTTGATGTCTTTCTAAAACTCTGTAGAGATCTAGACATATAAGCAGACAGATGCACACACCTGATGGTTTGTGTTTCAATCAATCAGTCCAGCTGGCACATTCGATTGTTATCCCACACCTGAATCAAGTCATGTGACTAATGGCAATAAATGTGGCTCACGTATCGTTGACAAGTGGGTGGATAAGTTTGAGGTTTGAACAATAGTCACGTGTTTTGTGTTATGAACTTCGCGTTGCTCATAAAGCAATCTTCAATGAGGATAGAGGTTTAAAAGCCAATGAAAGAACTAAAGCGTTGCTAGAACGCACATTCACGATAACCAAATCATTCATATGCACTTCCCAAGATGTGAGTTTATCTGTACATACATTTTTATTTAAACAATTGTATTTGTATGTATGGTAAACATGACACGCATCGCGCGCGTGAGAGAGAGAAAACGGACATCGTTGTGTCATGTTGGAGATTTTCTCCACGCGCGTGGTTGAGAGCATCTTGCGCGGGGATTCTATCCGAACTTCAATTGTCAATAGCGTGTGCCTGTGGTGTACCGGCTGATGTAGTTTTCCCCTTGAATCACTGAGCACATAGAACCCGCTATGATCATGCAGTGGTCACCTTTTTTCGACCTGCGATAGAAATCAATTTTCTATCACGTTCAAACAGGTGGTCAATGTTTTGATCAACGTATAAAAAAAAAATAATCCTTTCATGGGAAAGCGAACGTTTATCTGGTACACTTTAAGTTATTTGACTGTGTCGATCGAATTGGTAGGGAGAATACAACACACTGTTTAACAGTCAATCATTAAAAGATCCCCACAACGTGCAAGAAATGCAACATGAGAAATGTGGCACATTGGTACTTAGTTCTAACAGATCTAAGCACGAATTGACATCTGCAGCATCTGATCCAGCGGGATCCTCCCCCCCTCACCCTTGCTTTTTGCCACAAGTCTAATTTTCCCGTTGTGTTTTGCCATTTGACTGATTACTGGAATAAGTGAGTCCATGACTTCTCGCTCTCTCTTTTTTTACCTGCTGAAAACCCATCACGCATTCATTACCGATATCCCCCGCAGCTTAATACCGTCTGTAAGCGGCGTCAACCTGAGACATGATCGTAATTTACCGTAGCATCCGAAAGCACCCTGCAAGAGCCGGTCAGCTCCCAGTAACATAGCCCATTGAGCTTTTAATTTAGCGATCGTTTAATGATTGACATATATATATATATAACACCGGCTTGCGGACAAACATGGTGCCAACGCCAAAACAATGATAACGATAACAATACAGATGAGGCGGTTGGGATACAGAAGATAGGAAAAAGATGGAACTATTAAAATGGGAAACAGCAACTAAATGGCATGATAATTTTTTGTGTTTCACCTTACACTTTTTGAGGAGGGCGAACACCAGGTGGCGTACCGGCAGTTGGAGCGCCTGAAGTTCGTACTGGCGAGGAACAGGCGGTGGTTGGAACAGATAGCTAACAGCCGTTCCCCGTTTTCCGAGCGGCAGGAATCTAGTCCAAAAGGACCTCCCGGATGCGCCTCACTGGAAGTCAGTCGGCCTACTCTAGCATTCATATCTCCGGCTAAAAGCACGATATCAGCCCGATTCGCCTTACGCAAGAGGTCGTGTGGGTTATGATAAATTACACCGATCAAGTAATGTGCGATTCTTTGAGTAACAACAATGAGAAGCTATGGAAGGACCTCACAGTGAATTCGAAGGTAATGATCGCAGACATATTTACGCTGATATAGAGCACTGTGGGGTGGAAAATGACAATCCCGTATTGATAAAAACCTCGCGTTGCTGAATGGATACTGGCGATTTCTGGGACTGGTTAGAGTGACTCATCAGTCGGTTACAAAAGTCATTTACGTTATTGTGAGCTGATCTTGTGACAATGCGGGTTAAGCTAGCGACTAGCGTTTGTCTGAACAGCATTCATAATGTGGGTTTGTGCTCATTGCACAACGATTGGGCACCTATACTCTTTTCAGGGCTAGCTGATAAAATCCAATAAAGTACCACTTCGATTTATGATCTGTTCACGTAATGCAAATACCTATTCAGCCCCTAGTGAAGAGAGGAAACCAGTCGGATTTGTCTGCTTCTCAGGCTTGCAGCTGACGGCAAGTAACTCCGTACATTTTGTTACCTCGGATAACGCGCAACCAGTTATCTGATGATATTAGCCAACTAAGACTCGTAGCCCACTGCTTTTTTAGCTCATTCCCAGACCAACCGCATTAATAGTAAAGCAAGAATAAAATCTTTCTTCTCTTGTGGGGACAACCGTTGTTTGAAATTAATGTCACACAAATGTATTTGACCTGGATAAGTACCATTACATGATTGACTGCCAAATAACTCTACGCATGTGCTTCCCAAATATATATTGTCTCATTTTATGTGTACTGCATGCTGAGATATGAATGCAATGTGAATACACTTGTTTCAGGTCTGGCATTCAGCAGGGAGAATCGAGCTCGCGTTTTGAGGGTGAGTGCCGTTCACAAACCATCCCTGATCGATTGTGTATGTGTGTTTGAATGTGCGGGTATTTGTTACCATCAGGTATATACTTATGTCCATTTTGATGATCCTCAAAATCTGTATCATTCCGTTTCTAGAATCACTTCTACACCGTGCATTCCTATCCCTTCATTCTTCTCTAACAACTGATTTAGAATGAGGCCCCGAAGACGACGACTACTCGGTATACGACCTCGTCGTCCCGTACACAACCCCGTACATCTACCTCACCAAACTCGTCCACGACTGGTTCCACCGGTCACTCGGGACTATTTCACTATTCCCGATGGTCTCCGAACAAATCGACCGGATCCAGCTACACAGGAAGCTCGATTGGAACCAGCGCATCCTGGAATTCTGTAAGTCAGTTGAGGTTGTGTACATGTTTCTTTTAATGCTAACTTTGCAGACAAGCATTTCGCCTTGGAACTTCTGTGAAAAGATGTATTGTTCTTAATTTACCCCCCCCCCCCAAAAAAAAAGCAATAAATAATTTAGCCCGGGACACAACTGGGACGAAACAGTCATCACACACACAAACACAAAATTTACCACCAAAGCGATTGCCAATTAAGTGCGGTCAGAAATCGATTTGAATACAGATCCTAGAAATGGACATCATCACAATTAACTGGTATCTCTGAATCTGGACCGAAAACCGAAATCGTGGTGCTTCAATGAACTGCCGAGTACAGCCGGTTTGGACTCATTAGATAGTATCATGATCAGCCAGCAGGGTTGGAAAAACCGGAGGTGTTCCTGGAATAACGTGTAGGTGTTATTTCGATTTTTTCTATTCAGACAGATGAATCACGTGATAGGTAGTGAATGCTTTTAGACTAAGCCCATACGGATGATATGAATAACATGTGGGTGTGCGAATAAAAAGAACTGAGCAGAAAGTTCTGTCGTGTTAACAAATAAAAACAGAATCCAATTCACTACTGTTCCTGATTTCCCACAGCTAAACCTACTGCGAAGGCGGTAATGAAGTATTTTGCGTTTCCTCACGATGTGAGAAACAGAAAATTAGGTAGGAACGGATAAAAACACATCATGCAAGAAATATTGTGCTGATGTTCCAGAATTTGGGGATATTTATGAACAACATAAATTTCACACATGCCTGAGTTCAGACTGCGTGCCGAAGAATCAAGTTGAAATACATTTAAGAAAGAAAGAAAAAGTTTCATGATTTCTTCATAGGTAGTGTGCTACTCTTTCCAAAGCAGGTGAGTTTTCTCGGGTAATAAACAATCTTATCCTTTGTCTAGTCAAAGGCTGACCCACAAGACAGCGTGGCGATATATGAGAGCCGAAATCCTTTAGGGGGGGGGCTATGGTCGCTTTATCGAATCGTACACCCCATCTGTAGGGGTCAAACGTTCAAGGTACCCAAAACACCTCTAGGTTCAATCGAGCCACTGACCACAGCTACAACTAGGAAGGTATATATATGATTGTGTTCCCTACACCTCTTCTTGGATGGTTTGAAATCAGGATTTCAAACGGGTTCCCCTAGATGAACTACCAGTGATTCACTGACTCAGTTACAGCCCCAGAGGTTGACATTTTCCCTCTCACTTTGATGGGAAGACAGCGGCTCCACTATAGAATACAACGAGTATGGCTTCCTCCGTAGAGGCTGTTTGAGACGCTTGGTTGTATGAAGGCATACTGAGAGACGCAAGCGACTGGCGACCAGTTTCAACCCGGGACACTAACTCTCGGCCATACTGAGTCTTTGTGATCAATGAGTCACATTATATTCCGATTAATGTGATTCCATTTTAGATGGTGAGATCAGGATGACCGCACTATAACGGATGCTAAGAACAACTTTTGAGGGATTTATAAGGAATATGTAAATAGTTGTGAAAATCTTCCAGGAATCACAGTACGAATTTCGTGATTTTTGTATCTTATCAGGTTCACCTACTCGGAACCACTCTGTCAGGTCATTCCTATGCCCGTAATCTCTCCGTGAGTTTTGTCTAAAATTTCTCTTGTCAGTCTGGACGTGGCCAGATAGGAGACCCGCTCTGAGAAGAAACCTTTTTCATCTATGCTCGCCAGTCGTTGTGCGCGCAAACATGAGCAATAAAAGTGACAATAAAATATTGTTGAATTCGAATATCGTACTCTGACCCTCATCAGAGTCAGTTCAGGTGTTACACATTATTCCGCATTTTACGATAAACCGAAACGGTTCAGTCGCTGGTTGATGAAGTTAAGCACCACAGTGGGTGACTGTAATGAGTCAATATAGGCACTTTAGAAGTTCCGGTGAATTTGTTACGCATCAAGCTCAATCAGTGTATGCTATTCGGGTGATGAAGTAAACACATACTTTTGCTTGTGTGCAAGGATATTTTGAAATTTTGAACAAGCTTTTGGTTAATTACAGGTATTACATTTATGTCTGTGTGAGAGGTAAATAGGTGTGCGTGGTAAACTGTTGGTGATGACGACCCTAAACGGTTCGGTGCTTCTTCTCACCTTCGTGATTACAAAAAATTCCTTGGCGGATGAGCATTGTACTCTAACCAGAGAGACAGATTTGGAAGAATACGACCGAAACCGGCAGAAAAATGACTTGTTGATTGTGGTCAGGAAACCGAGCTTTATTGAAATTACCGTGTGTCCAACGGGGTCGGGGATTGGGGAACCAAGTGGTTTTTTGTCCTGGCCTTAATCACAGTACGATGCCCCTTATTCGTACTGACATCAGTCCTTCACTCCCAGTCAGTTCAGATGGACCGATCTATCGTCATTGTAAATATTTCGAAATGTATGCATAAATTTTCTCTCCCTATATCAAGACCATGGTGCTGACAGAATGAATCGATTGTTGAGTTGTCTAGCTGCATTTGTAAAATCGCTATTCCATTTGCCTTATCGGCTATAAAATTAATGTATTTTGGTTATTGGATAATACAGTAAATATTATTGAGAATGGGACTCATCTGTCAGACGCGGATTGGGACAGTCTTCATGACCGTATTCATGGGACCAATTTATTCTGCATTTAACTTATTTATTCATCCGATTCGCTTATCACTGTGGGCGTTTTATTCCTGACGTCTATTTGGTGCTCTTGGGTTCTCATCTCATAAGTGGTTCCCGTAACGTCATATGTCGTATCTCGAATGCATGACAATCTAGCTGGTTTCATTTTTTTTTTAATTATTCTACTACACATTGACTGCAACAAAAGTGAGGATATTTAGTGGAAAAACGGTACCCAAGCTTTATTCATTCGTTTCTTGCTTCAAATTTACAATTTTTTTAAAGATCCCATCTAGCTTACGCAAATTAATTGAAAAATCTAGAGAATGTTTGTACTTCTTTATTGACCGCTTTTTTTCGATACCCTTCACACGCAGCATACAAATATTCAGATTCCTCGACAAACTTTCGCTTGTGTTTCATCCACCAGTATGAAAACCGGGATGTACTTTGTCCAGTTTCTGTATCTGACTCTGTCCTACCCGTCAAAACTACTCTTACTAGGGGTTATGCTATGCCCACAGCGTCTATGTATAGACACCTGTCCAACTTCCTGTATTTTGGACATCAAACTACTATCACATCTGCTATTGCTGAAGTTATTAAGATTGTTAAGACCATACTAGTTGTTAATTCCTTTTCTGCAGAATTAGAAGGACTGCCTTCCCGTGTTAAACCTGACGACAAGTGACGCGCAACGTCCCGGTTTCAATGCAATGAAAACCAAGACTGTCTCGTGATACGGTACTATTAATGCGAATTAATTACTGACATGATAAATAATATACAAACCTTGATTCGTGAGGTATCTGGGTTGGGACAGTCGTCAAGGCACTTCCAGATATAAGTGCATCAAATAGGAATATGACAGCGCTCGGCTGCGTCGAAATATACCTAACGTCAAGGTGATTCAAAAGGGGACAGTTCACCGCTGTGATCGAACTATACGGAGTCAAACAATTAAGTCCAGTCAGGCAGTGACATGAAGCTCCTAAAAGATGAGCCAATCATAAGAGAGTTGAGCGCTCACAATTCGACCTCATAACAAACGACAGGCGTGCGTGCATGCATGCATGTGTGTGTGTGTGTGTGTGTGTGTGTGTGTGTACATGAACAGATGACTCCCAAGGAGCCATCGAAACAGGTCACATGTGCGTGGGTGGTTAAATAATCGATAGATGATAAGCGGTGAACCGGTACAAAACAAGGGTAGAACATAGATCAACCGATAGTAAGGGACAATGGAGGTCACAAAAGAACTCGTGTGGTTGAAGTCATACGGGTGATCGGTGAGATCTCAGAGACTGGGAGAACTATGCACTCGCTTGATTATGTAAGAAATCGATAAACAGAACGAAACGAATGTCAATGGGACAAATAGGAAGCTATAGAGTGTGCAATGAGTCGAAAGAACGCAAAATGATTCTGAGAAGAAGAATCAACACTACTATTATTACTACCATTAGTACTGCTACTGCTGATACCACCACACTTCTACTGCTTTCGGTGATATTACTAGGATTACTACGACCACACTATTACTAATGATAATATTGATACTACCTTGAATAACTCGGTCATGAAGATCGCCCATGACGACTACTTAACGATAATATGAGCTACTAAAATAAACGATCGAAGACAAATTATTACTGTTCACTTGATTTGACAACGAATTTACCAAAATCATAATCCGGTGCATAAACTTGTTAGCACGGAAACAGCAATTGCAAGCAGTGGTTGTGTGTGTGAACCCGACATAAGTTTATATGGATCCGAGACTGATTCTAAAGAAGTTCGAAATTAATTTAATTGGTTCGGGGAAGACAGGCAGGCGTGAATGAATGCTAATGCTTGCCAGTTGTACCAAACACAATTGATTTGTCACGTCTCCTCTGTCCTGATCGGTAGCGGTTTCTGTTTGTTTGCTTTAGGTGACGTTTAGCCAATGGAATTCGAAACGAATGTAAAATATACTCGATTGAATAGAGAGAGCTGAGTTGAAATTCTCTTCCAGTGTGAATTCACTCGAACTCGTTTCACTTTTACTTTTTTAAGTTCATCATTTTTTCTCCCTAGTAAAATATTTCGGTCAAAATCTGACTCAAAATCCGTAATTACCCCAAGAGAATAAGGAACAATTGTCTTTGTTTCCACATTCCCTTGTTCTCAGGATTTGAATACAGCCAGCAACAGTTCAGTCGACTATAAAAAACTATACGAGGCTGAAAAATCAGCCACCGCTGAGCTGCGTGCAGCCATCGCGTCTGCCCAAAGCGAACTCAGGGAATTACAAGAACAGGTGGAAGCCACACAACGAAAACGACGCTCCAGTGATGCCGAGCAACGAGTAAGTCTATTCTATGTTAGCAGTACATGACGACCATGCACATTATTTTTTCGAGAATCCCGTTGCCTATAAATATTACACACATACGAGCAGGCCTAATGTACACAAATGTGAGCTTGACGTTGCCTCTAGACCAGAGTCGCCCATTTGACTTGTTTGATTCACGCAGTTTGTGTTCCGCGAAATCGCAATTCGATTCAATTCGATTACACACGTGGAAGGTCCCCCTTCCTTAGCGCTGATAATAGCATTCAGACGATTTGAGTCTTTGTCAGTGCCGTGAGTCAGACTGCATAGCCCAGGAACGTAACATGAATGAATGTACAAGATTAACAAAAGTCCAATTACTGATCAATCCATTCCCTACTGGAAAATGTTAATTTGATCCAATCTACCCTACAGTTATGCATCTAGTCAAAGTTATATGCACGGTGTTGGTTTATATACACGAAGAGAATACCCCTTATCAGCAAGCAGGTAATGGACTTCCGTGGAGATTTGTTTGCGTTTCCGTTTGTTGCTATGACCCTCACACTGCGTCTCTGCTGTATCATGCCGGACTGACCCCAGTTCTGAATCCATTCAAAACATTGGTAGATTGGCTTCGGGTAACACAGTCCTAGTTCTCATACAACTAGCGTCGTCCCATAAAGGCCGCACAAGCCCTGGCTGCTGACTGACGCTCTCAATACACAGGTAGCACACTTCTGACAGTAGGCTCTTCGTAGAAGGGGCTTCCAAACGATCTGCAAGACGAATAACACAAAAAGTAACCTCGAACCAAAAGGTCCAGTGAGATATGCGCACGACTCACACTCATTTCAAAATGGCTGCACCCGAGTCTTCACTACTCTGCGACCAATAAAAGTCCTTCTGCAGACCAACAGTTCAAAGCTGCAAAAATCACATACTCGCCGGGTGGATTCGTGAAATCTATTAATGCTTATTAATTGGAGTATATCAAAAGATATGCACTGAATTCAGATGTAGGAAAATACCGTATTTTTTCCATTAGATAATATAGTGCAAAGATTTGAAAGCGTAGGATATGTAGTTGCTTCCTGTATTCTCGATCTTTGGCCATGATTTGGGGTTCAACAGACAGGATTCCTCAATGTTGTTTATGTATAAACATGACAGATATGAATGCCGATAATGGATGTGTGAAAAATTGGTCAATATCTTGCTGACAGATTGATTTTCCATACTTCGAATGGGTTGTTGAAGAAATTATCTTTACTAACGTCGCTTGCCAAAGATAGAATGCAATAAGACTATGCCAGAATGCTATTTTCACCTTCAGATACGACAGAAGTCGGCCCACTTAAGTCATATGATCTATGACAGGAAATCAGGGAGAATCACCTGTTACGTGCTGTTGTAGTTATCCAATTATCGTTGAAAAATTACTTCGTTAGTCATTCATTAGTCTGCAGTAAAGTAAGTTTAGCTACACATTTGTCACTAGTGCTATGGTCTTAAGTACTTCACTCTGGTTATGGGTAACACCAAACTCAGGGAATTTCCAACCGACAGTGTCATGACCGAGACCTAATGACAATCAGTTCACACACGATAGGGCAGGCCTCTGATAAACGTACTGGCTCTCTATTGTGATTCGAAAGTAGTGAAATGCAAAACGTTCATGTTTTACAACAAGGTCTGTAGCGAGACTCAAGCAAAACATACGAATGCTATTCACCAGATTCATCAGCTTGCTGAATAAAACCATAAACCATCTGAATGTGGATCACGATACAAAATCAAACGGTCTACCTGACGAGGCATCCCAATCCGGCAACTGATGATTATTTAAAAACATGCACACACACACATAACATACCACAACTAATGTCCCTAATATCACGTGGTGACCAGTCCTCAATTTGCATTCATTTTGGATTCACTTCGCGTTGTGTAAGATCCTTTGTTCATCGAAGAGTTATGAGACATTCAGTTGGTTGATAGACCTTGAACACGTCTTTTGAAAACCTGAATCAGCAATTCCTCTTCGAATCATATGTTGAGCACAATTATTCACGACAGACTTTTCTTAAAAGTCAGAGGTGTGAATACATATATTCACATGTATCAGTACATATTATAGCCACTCATTGAATGGGCTATTGCACCATTCACTGCCCTTCTTATGCTACTGATATATCAGTCAAACCAAAATGAAATTGCTATAATCGATATCCGGAAGATACAGAAATCGGTTAGGCACGATGTCGTGATTAGCTTTTCTCTTTCAGTGACCACATGGACAAAACTATCTTCATCTCTGTTGATGGTTTCGTGGGACACAGTCTCAAGAAGAGAACCATGATTTCGTGAACTTATTTCAATTACCAAATAAGCATATTTCATCATTCAGAACACTAGATAAATATAAGCGAAGTTGTTGCCGGCAATTCCACTTTCAATCCAACACAATCAAAATAAGTTCCAAACGAATGTTTTGTGCAGTCTACTTGAATGAAAAGGTAGATAAGTGAGTGAGTCCTCTCCGTGGATAGAGAGAGTCGAGCGAATGGTTTGGTTATGCAATAGTTTATGTCGACGTTCAATACATTTTTCAGCCAGGAATTGTGAAATACCTTCGTTAACTTCGTATTCACACTGAGATCAGGGTTTGGAAGGTGGATGATATGTTTTCAGCAGTTGCTAAATCTCAAAGTCAAATTGCTATTGACTTGAGTTGTTGAAGACTTATCGATCGAGTCTCTGGTTTCTACCAGGTGCATTATAGTGTAAAGTGAGATCGTTCCGTTCCTTCTATGACGTTCCCACATAACTGCCCAATCGTTCGATCTGCGTAGTTAGAAGTCACTGTTATACGGGGTTCACATGATGTGATGAGTATTCCTCAGTTAATTCGTATTTCAGCGGTAACTTGTGGCCATTTTTGTTCAAAGGTCTGATTTCTTTTGATAAAAAGATGCAAAACGGTAGCATTTAGTAAAGTGTTTTCATGTGCTCTACTAATCTGAATTTGAGTCAATAACAAAAAAATCGCAAGTGAGTACAATTATTGTCTGTGAAATAGTAGTCCTGTCTAAGCGCAAACGGCTGCAGTGTAGAACATCAACTGATCATTTTGGTTCGAAAGGATAACTCCTCCAGTGACTGCATTGCAAAAGCATCCTCTTTCATCATTCCACAGCGTATGAGTGACACGTCAAAGGGTTAGTGATCAAGCTGGCTTCAACTGGACTAAGTTGGATCTGCTTGTATATTCACATACATACATACATACATACATACATACATACATACATACATACATACATACATACATACATACATACATACATACATACATACATACATACATACATACATACATACATACATACATAAACAGACACACACACACACACACACACACTTTGTTCGAATATTTGTGTACAAAGCTGAACAACAATGAATGAATACTTGTGCATTCGGGCCATTTTGAAACCACTTCATATGTGACCACCGACGGAATTCGATGAGCGCGCACACAATCATTTCGCTGAGTGATACTTCTTTGACAGCAATTCTCTAACTCTGCTCCTCGTGTAATTCACCTAGGGTCACCAAGGTGCTTTAGCTCTCTCTCTCTCATATAAACAAGCGATCCGTGTATCAATAATCACTAACGGAAAGTGATAGAGTAACAGAGACGAACCACACTGAAACTGGAAACGATCGATGAGGCAAGTGTTGGGATCGGAAGTTCCATTTGTGCAGCCGGGATCGTTTTGAATGGTCAATCATAAGATCACCATTCCAACAGCCACCTCTTATTTTTCATTCATTTAATATATATATGAACTGACAAAAGATTACTGGATACGCATGCCTGACGAGCGGCAAGAACCGCGAAACCGGTCGTATGCTTCCACGGAAACTTTGTCCAGTCATTCACATACTACTTATTATGATATATATATATATATGTATATATATGTATATATATATATATATATAATCGCACACGTATGAATCCAGACTGTGCCAGACAATGCATGGTATAATAATCTTTATGAAGAAGAGAACTGTTCAATGATTTGCATGATTTGATTATTTTCATGCGTTTAGATATATTCCACAAGTTTGTCACGGGTTCAGGGGTTCACATATGTCGTTCTTCAAAAGAAACAAGGAAACCTATTTTTCATTCTGTCGAACGAAATACAGCTGGATCTATCTCATTCGATGCATCGAGTGGTGCTAGTCTTCAGAGTGAGGATCAACGCATGAGTTTAGCGACAAAAAATACCGTTTACTTCTCTCACTTTTTCACAATCGCGAACACAATCAGTTCAAACACTGGGCAGATTCTCTTATAATTTGGTTCTTTTTTTTGAAAACTGAATCACATCCTTTTAACGTTGGTACGTACACTTTCTTTTCCCGATTTGAGCGTATGGTGGGATAATAAACCATTCTTTTCAGTGTTACCCTAAGAATGAAATAGCATCCAAGCCCCAGGGTGATGAACGTCGCCCAAACCTGTTGATTGATGCGATTCGCTCCATTGAGATTTGTAGACCAGTTTCTGATAAAAATGCTAAATGAATAAATGAAAGTCATCACAATAAATGAGCATTCCTTTTATTTCCCAAGTTCCGATGATCGGACAGATTAGGCCACTTCCCTGGCCTTGTTTTCAGCTCTAATATTCGAGGTTCAAGCACTTTCTCCTCCACTCAACTCTGGTGGCAGGCAGGTTCACTTCCATCCGGTTGAACACCACACCGATCCTAGTGGAACATTTTGGTTCGCCAATCCAAACCCCAGGGTCTAGGTTTCCGAATTCTTTTATTATTGTTATTATTATTGTTGATCAGCAAGTATTTGCAACTGTGATGCTTAATCATCCTGCCATTCATCATATAACGGTGTATAAAGAAAACGTAGGTCATGAGTAAGACCCTCACTTCGGTCGAGCGATTTTCTCTGGTAACGATACCAACTATGTTGAAGCAACTTTATACCGTGTTTCTCAGTTTTTCGGCTCACCTTTCCTCGAGCGAATCCAGCCAACATTTTTTCAACGGTTATTTGATGCAAACTGCAATCATATGTGTAAAAGCACTCCAACAATATTAAAAACAGAATTACGATCCACAGTTCTATTCCGCTCATATGATGCTCCTTGATCACGTGACAGTAAAACACGATAGCTTCTATTGCTGACATATATGACGATAACTCCTGACCCACCGGCGTCAGGCAGACATGTGATTCGAACGATTTTGTTCAATGATTAACTGCCCTTGCCACATCTGTGTTGTTATTTTGAAAGCTACTTCCGTTGTGTACTTCTTCAACTAAACAGAAATGAATTTTAGCTCCGGTGAGCAACGGAAGGAAATGAATGAAAGTGTTTTCGTTTTCGTTGCTAGATTCTTTCCCATGCTGTTGATATTGCTGCATAAATCGGATGGGGAGTAACGTGGAATACACAGGAAAAAAGTAATTACAGAATATATTGAATTATTAGGAATTCACATAGATACCATGTCCGGGATCGATGATAGGTTGATTACCGTCTTGTCGACGAATAAAAGTTACTCTCTCCACACTAATCCTTGGAGTAAAAAAGGGGAAACTGGCCTCTGATAAAGCTGCTCCATGGTAGAAACTAGTCGGGGTTTGGTTGAAACTAGAGGATGCATTAACTTCTCTCTTACTATTTCTAAACATTTAACGATGGATTTTTGAAAAATATATCTGGCTTTTATGTGGTTTTCATTTTTTTCTGTTTAAAATGCAATATTAGTTCTAGTATACCAGTAAAACTACTACCACAAGAATAGTTAGTCAATCAATCAGTAATCAAGCACATGATGATGTTTATCAAGCACGAAAATCGGAAAAGATCTAAATCCAACTCGCGTGGTAAAGTGCATTCGCGTGGTTTTTTTCTCGGTAGCATCTGGCGGACCATGCAGCTGGTTGATTGCATCGAACTTGTTTTGTGGACCCTGATTGATTTGTGTGCGCGTTTGCACAAAACCGTTAGGTGTTTGTTTCCTGCCCTATTGATGTGAATCCCAACGTCGCGAACCAGCAGAAAGCCACGATGGGTTACACAAATCACGTAGATGCTCGACCAAACTCGTAATGTTCAACTTCACACACACCACTGTGAAGGGAAAACACCGCTCGGTTTGCACTCTGAATAGGTTCACATGACATCTGCCGAACACAACTCCTGGTCACGTGGAAATATGACCTGTACGGAATGCATACACGGCCTTGTGTTACTTAACAGAAATCGATAATGCGCGTTTGTTCGTGGTAGAACAATCCAAAATCTTTCTTCACACAACAAAGCTAGTTTTGATAATTTTGTCATGAAGTTTATTAAATGCATGTTTAGTGTTTAACCAACCTGCCTCTCCCGCCCCTCGTTAACGTGGAATTTTCCGAAACAGTGGAATGAATAATGTTTTACATCATGGATGCTGTGTTGCTCATCCCTTCCTTGTGGTTGTTCATTGTGGACTAATGAGAAATGAAAAAGCATCATTTTGATGATACTAATGATTTGAACGGTGATTGACGATCGGTGCTCATTAGTTTATACTTGATTGTTCCATACGTGAGATTTCGAACCCGCGGCCTCACTTCGTTTTCCTTCTTCGTTTCAATGAAATCGCGTGTTTTCCCCTTTCACACAACTTAAATACTTATCAAAAAATATCCTGTTTTTGTTGCATTTTCATTTCAGAAATTGGAAAGGAAAATTTCCGAATGTGACGAAGAATTGAAAGTAAGTGAAATCCAGTTGACAATGCCTTCGTTTATGAATTTTTTAACCACAAGAGCAGCAAATGATTGTGCGTTAATTTCTAATAAAGAATGCACAAGTCATTTACGCGATAAATGCTTCTTCTTTTATCGCCGCATCTGACGACATTGTACCACAGGTCTATTGGGTTGGCAACATGCTATCAATTGCCAAGAAACTGTAACTACTCCCTTCTTGCTAGGCATTCATAGCGAATGACTATTACATAAAAGATAGTTAATAAACAAATTGATCCCAACACACCCATCCATTTGTCAGTGCTTATCTAAACTGCCAGCATGATGCTCTTTTTCTCATGGTGCTCAAATCCAAAGAGGAGTGTATTTGAGCAACAGTGTTTTTGATCTTTCCGTCACAAACTTTTGAAACCGTGTCGTTCTTTTTCTTTGAGGTGCCATACTTCCCTGGGAGCCTACGGGTGTCAATTAAATCAGAAAACGGCTTGAATGGAAACAGTTTACCTGGAGATTAAAGTTCTTCCAGAAGCATGGATATTGCAATGTTGGAATGAGGAAATTCTGTAGGGCCTTTTTTGTTTTATTTCTTTATTGATAATAAATCGTTTTTGACTGCGTGCACGTGCTGACTGATATCAACCATAACATTTGAACGAATAAATCGTTGAGTTCAAAGGTGTGGTCTAAGATGCGGCTATTTTTCGACAGATTTTAAAACGGCAAACAAGAATCAGAACTAAGAACACTGCCTTCTGTAAAATAAATAAAATATACCAATCCAGCTTACACTTTATTTGAACAACAAGGAGACAAACATTTAGTGTTTTAATTCAACCGAAGGATGTCGTGCTCAATATATTTTGTTTGGTAGATTGAATTGTGAAGATTTCAGCAGCCTCAAGGGGATTCGAACCCGCGCATGTACATCGCCTACGCTTTGGTACAGCGCACGCTGTACGAGCCTGTAAGCTGACTTCCAGCTCTGGTTTTCTTTAGAATCGACCGAACGAACTGGAAATCCCATAGACACTACCGGTTTCTTTACTGTTCAAAATAAAACGATTTATTGAAAAGAACTTGGCATGTGCCTCACAGTTCCTTGTAAACAGTCTTGTGGAATAAGTGATAGTGATTGGGACTGACCATCCTTAGGATTCAACACTTTCTCGCACAACCCTCAGTTCATTCAGTCAACCGTATGGTCCTATGTGGCGCAAAGGTTCGTGGAAGATGCGTGAATGTGCAGGCCGAGGAGGAATAAGTCTACATTGAAAGACATTGGATGGATGCATGTGGTCGAAAAATCGGATGCTTTAAATATAATTAAGCTTTTGTGGCAACTTATCAGTAACAAGTCCTGTGTACGCCAACAGCCAGAGTAGATAGCGAAATATGGGGTGATATTTCATAATGTGGGAGAGTGTATGGTTGTTATTATGAGCCCCCTCCCTAATAGAGAAACGGAGGGATGAAGATAAGTTTTGGTGACGACGGACACTATCAGGCAGTACTATATTGTACAGTTGATCACATGAAGAGTGTTTATTAGGAAATCGATGAGTGGTAGACAAGAAATATTGTTGTATTTAGAGATACATCCTACCAATAGTTTGGTTCGGATAAAGAAATTCTTGGAGAGCAAAACCGAGAAACTTATGAAGAGCGGTAGCTCCAGAAAGAATACACCTTAGATCCCTTTCGATGAAACTCCTCAATAGAGCTGTTTAGAGACATGACATTGGTAATTTTTCTTTTTAAAGAAAGTCTCCTGATTAATTCGTTTGAATTCAATGTATGTAGGTAAATCAGAGCATTCAATAATCTGCTCTCGATCTTCGGGTGAACCAGCCATGAGAATGTTGAGAAGGATTGCTGATCGTTTCGATTGATGCGGATTTTAGGTCGATTGAGAACCGTATCTTGCAAGACCCAGCGCCAGATTTCCAGTTTTTAACCGATTTTGCAACAGACGCGACGGACTGGGTTGACGTTGGAATTTTTTTCACATAAATGACCGATAACCGGCTGGTAGGCGTATTTCAAGATGAAGATGGACTGAGTGTTTTTCAACATGAACGTTGAACCCCGGTTGACGAAGACTGTTGAGGATCTACCCTGTTAAATGATTACAGCTGGTAAATTATTGACACAATCATCCAGACAGGCTGAAAGATAAGCAGCACAAACCTAACGAAGTAAGCGATGTGGTCCTGGCAACAGAGAACTGCAAGAGTTCTCATAGCCCAGAAAGCAGACGGTAACCAGACTAGGTCTCAATAGCCTGTGTAACGATGTGCACGAACCAAACTATTGAATCACCGGTGGAATACTGTTAACGATATGCGAACTAGTTGAAGTCATGGCTTCTATTAGCGCAAAACACAATGTTCTCAACGATACATTCTACAAATTTTCGCTTCATCAGTATTGATGCGTTTGGGCAAAAAAATTCCTTCTTTTTGGGGGTCAAATGTGTGATGTGAATAGCCTGTCCCGAGTCGACCATTTTACACTCAGAGGGCGAGCGAATAGGACTATCTAGGAAAGGGGTGTTGCGGTCTGGGGCAGAGCACCAGGCAGTTAATTTTACTCATCCGTAGTGGGGACATACTTGGTCTTCACTGAAATTCAAACCGAGCAATTTCGAGTTTGGAGCTGAAATTCTCAACTCTGAGCTACACAGGTGGCGTTAACTACTCTCAGCACATGGCTGTATCATTTACGTTTTCGCACTGTTTTAGCCCACGAGAATTCACAGACATCCGGATTTGTGCATTGATCTTATTTTGTGGATCTCAGTCCGTGAGGATTCGCTCAACTCCACAGTGTCGTGTTGGCCATTGCACAAAATATAACCACAAATAATTGCAATGAAGCGCAGGAGGAATTGACAGACTCCGGAGGAGTGATACTCATGCAATATCCGTCAATTCGCATTAGCTAAATCGGGAACATATAGAATTCATTGGATTATAAGCTGATTCCCACCAAAACGCGGGTCGTTGAAAGCACAAAACAATGCAGTTACGCTTATTGATCTCCAGTCAATTTGTTCAGTTCAATAATTGATTGAACAAACCGCGTATATAGTGTCTATTTGTTAATACAGATTAGAATCTTAGTCTCATTTTCAACGAACTCTACCAAAACTGACTGGTTTTCCAAATACAACAATCAAGTCAGAAACTGCACAGCACCAAAGTGCAACGCCTGAACTGAGTTTCAGAGACCAGACCATTTTTCTCAATTCTCTTAACCCGTCGACTGTTTTTGTTATTTGTGTAACTTGTTGTTTAATTTCCGTCCCTGTGTGTGATTTGCTGTGCTGCACAAACATCGGTATGCACACGGGAATTATTTTCTCGAATACAGATTGAGATATTTCAGTCTGTGATTCGATTGTTCGCGCCGCAACCGAAAGCTGCTCTGTCTCCCCTGATTGGTTCAGTTGTTTTGCAATCGTTTGTTTTTTCTCCTCCACTGTTTTCACTCAGACCCTGGACAAATTGCGCAGTGAGTCGGAACGCTTGCGTGCAGAACACCGTGCCCTCGTCCGTGTCGTCTCTCGACTGAATCGGGAACAGTGAGCGAGAGCGAAGAAAAGGACAACGGAGGGGGAAGCAGACAGCTCGATGACCAGGAGGGGCGGGTGAACATGACTATTCAAAATGCATTCTTCATCCCTGCTACTTTGTTCGTTGTTGTTTTCTCTTTTTCTTTTCTGACTCATTATCTTTCTTTCTCTATCTCCTTATTACTGCATTCTCATAGGATTATTTCTTGTGCATTGATCATTGTACAACATTTGACCTTGTTTAAGACTCAAACAGGCATTTATTGATTGTTTTGCTTTTACCTGATCCGGGTCGGGCTGGGGATATACGCATATATCGCAGAAAAAGGGAATGAAGATTTTGGGTCTATGCTTCAGTTCTGACGCAATATGAAGTTGAAAGGTGCGTTAAAGTGTATCCATTATAGTCGGAATTATTTTCACTATATGGATCACAAAAAAATTTTCAGATCATTCTGCCCCCCCCCTCCCGCCCCCTTGCTCCCTCATTGATCCCTGTTACTGTCTTATCGACAGTGTTTAAACTTCGAACAGTTGTCACAAGGCATGCTTGCTAGATTCACAAGAGAAATTGATTAGAAATTAACCCGAATAGCACTCTTAATGCTGCACATAAAACTCTCAAGCCGTACGGAATATTTTGAAGGCTATTTTGTTAGATTTATCGATTACTGTTCCGTCATCTGACATCAACTTGATTTGCGTTCACCAATTGAGCTATTTTTATTTTCTAGTCAACTATGTCGAGTTGTCGGTCTCGGATATCACGCACTGATGAGTTAAAATATTGTCATCGGTATGTGTAAGCATCATTTCGGTAAACTGAAGCAATTGATGTAGTAAAATGTTATCAGCATTAGCGAATGGACTAAGTTCGACCCGACGAGATGGACTATCAGCGCTATGGCAACAAGAACAAACCGCTTCAGGGGCCATTGTGGGCAATTTTCTGGCTAATTCGTCTCAGTACTGCATGGATAAAACAAGGGGCATAATCAAAATTATATATGGAAAAGACGAAATACGTCTCCCGAAGGCAGGTTACAGTAGGGTTACAAATATCCCAAGATTGAAGTGTTCTGCCAAGTGGAAACAGTAAGTTCTCAGGAGTGGTCCGCATTTGGAAAACATTGAGATGATAAGACATCCTGAGTGATGTCAACTCAAATACAGCGCGGAACTCGAGGACCAAAGAACAAATGGCTTAAAACGACGAATAGGCAAAAGTCAAACACACAGTGATAAAACAAATTCAGTCAAAACAGTTCGGATGATTATCGGCTGAAACTGCGGAGAGTGAGCAATGAATGTAAAACGCAATTCATATCAATGGGGGCTCAGAAATGATATGCGAAGCATTTGGTGTGGCACGGAGAAGTTCGTAAGCTATAGCAGATGCGAAACATATGTAAGGATACTTACTAACCATCGCCTTCTTATTTTCTACGGGAAAAGAGTCAAGAGTTCATTTTCAAATGGACACAATCAGTGCATATCTTTCAAGCGCATAGAAGAAGACAGTACACAATTCTCTCCCATTCAAAAGGGATACATTCGCAGCATTGGTTAGCCGCAAAGTAGGAACTGCGTTGGAGAATACTTTTCACGCGGCAAAATTACGTATCGTATTCACGTCTAGACCGATCTTGTGTTCGCAACTCAAAGACAGGATTCCTGCTTTTGCAGTCTCATTTTGTGTGTACCCGTTTACGTGTTCCTGTGAAGCAACGTATATCGGCCACACGAGCAGGCGCCTATGTACACGAGTTCGGGAACATCATCTGGCCTGGTTGAACACTGGTGTGATTAAAACTATTACAAGTGCCATGGTTTCACACCTCGTCGAGTTCAATCACACAGTGAGTGTGACTGAAGCATTTCGGTCTCTCTACTGTGATCGAGGTCGTAGATCAAAGCCGATTAAAAATCGCATCCTAGCCACCGCAGGGGCAGTTGGAATCCCTCTACATATTTCCCTCTTGTGCGCCCAAAAACAGTTTGTGAAGTCACTCAACCTACCATGGCCCTTCACCCCCCATGCTCATCCTTCCTCTCCCAAGCCTACCCCTAAATCACACAATTAACACGGACCAAGCTTAAGTTCGAATGGCAAGATCAACCATGTCCGGTTTTGTGAAATTGGGACAGAAAACAATAACAACAATAATCCCCATTCGAATAATCAATAATTTTGCTTCCTCTTTTCTATACAAAATGATGTGATATAAAATGTGACATATTAGCCAGTTGATGAGTCACCGAAAAAAAGCTTTTTCGCAAAACTGCGTTTTTCATCCAGTACATATCTCACGAAAGATTGTTTGTTGCGCCATCTGGCACTTCTGATGTAAATCCAATAGAGAATGTTAGGGAATCATGACAAGGTGAGCTTATATGAAGCACTCAGGTCTTTCCGTAGAGGAGCATGAACTGTAGTAAGTCGCGGTTGAAGATTAGACGTAATCAATACTATGACGAGGCGTTTAAGATTATTCACAAAAGGGGACTGAATTTAAAAGAATTTCGCAACCTTTTAGTGTTATGTACACGAGGTGGAATTTCATTCTGGTTAGGTCAGTTTGGTTTGTGGTTCTATAGTGTGCCATGAGATAAGCATTCGAAATTTCAGCGCTCGAGGTAAACCCGCCCTCGTTGAGAAAGCGTTAAATGCTTGGAGAAAAACTGGTGGCCTTAGAAGCGTTACTTTCACCCCAGTCGTCTCCACTACACGTTCCACCAGCTAAGGTCAGCTTCCTACAGCCTCCCATCCCTGGCAAATAGCCTTGCTATTCCAATTGGCTTCGATTTTATATCATTTGAGAGACATCTTACGCAACTCTTATCAAAGATCGATTGAAGGTGTCCATCGTTGCGAACTTTCATCTGCAGTAAAGATCAGTTGAACGCAAAATGTATTGATAGGTGGATTGATCAACAGCATATCCACAACGACCAATCAGATTCAATCTGTAGGCCATCTGATGCGAGAGTTGAGGTACAAGAACACAAACCTCATAGTCACAGTCACCTTGTTCATACCGTGATTCGTGAGAGCGCATCTGCGGGACTCTAAAATGGCATTACTGGGTCAATCAATATTTAAGGTCATAAAGTGGAACAGAGCAGATAAATATGTACAAATAGTGTATAGTTCTAGTATCATTCCTTGATAAAATTATGACCACGATTATAAACATCCGATTGTGAAAAGCGCATCACTCTCTCGCTCTCTGAACCATAAAGAACGGTCAAAAGTGGCAGGTCTGGTCAAATGGGCAGGATTAGCTGTTATTTATTATTCTTGAGAGATGAACGCTGATGTGTTGACAAACAATGAAACCCGCAGCACCTCTTTCGTTTTTTTTTATTAGAGAGCACAGATAGTAGACAAAATTGGAAGAAATGGGCAATGCATATTATTTCCTACACTCGTAAACGTTAAACATGCACATATCTAAATAGCGATGACATGAGCACAACAATATGTAACATTACGATTGCCTATTCTTTACATTCTGATAGAAAGGGGTTGGACGAATCAAAGGAGCTGATAATTTGTTTGATCAGAAAGACGTCCACAGATATGAAGGAAAAAAATAAATAATGACGTTGCAAAATTGATTGATATCACCTTATTCAGGTTTCAGACAGATACCTTGTGTTGCTGATGAATGACCGAACATTTGTGAGATAATCAGGAACCCGGTTTTCCCTGAAAATTCCTGTAAACTGGAAAATAGTTGAAATTGTCCGCAATTTTCTCGATGTTACCGGATTGGTGGGGACTGACTGAACGGACAGATTGCTGCAACTTGATTGGTTCATAAGTTTTATCAGTGCTCATGTTTGCCCTTTTGAAAAAACAAGACTGTTTGCAATTTCATAAGTATATCAGGCTTTTCCAATATAAGAACTCAATTTTCTGGCTCTATCAACAAACACTCGCACTGTTCAAACTGTATTTTTTTTACTGGAATCGTTGAAAAAACACTCGTGACATATTGCCGGACACAAGAGTTAGAGATAGTCCTTTTTCAAGGAGCTCAATGTTTGTTTTCAGCATAAATTCCGTCACAGAATGACGAAGTCAGTATTATTTTGTCTGCGACCATTAAATTCAATCCTCTAGCTCGTTGATAAGTATATCGCCTCATTCTGGAAATCCACGGCTACATAGGAACTAGAGAGCGCTGAAACGTTCCTTTAAATAGTGACCAAGAAGACCTTACATTTCAACGTCTGTTCTCAATAGTTGGAAGCATTGGGGCTGTACTCGTCTTATCCTTGACAATTAGATTTTTTGGTATCAAAATTGCATCTATTCTACCCACCAGGACAGTCGCTAATAACATAATTCGCAAACGTTTATCTCAAGAAGAGACTGCTTGAGCTCCGAAAAATGGGTCAGAATGTCGGGTTCAACATTAGTGCTGCAGTCCACGGAATTCCCCTCCATCCAATGGTTTGTTTCCCTTGAATTGATTCAATTAAGACGCGAACAAGTGAAACTTCACAACAAATCATTTTTCAACATCCAGGAATGAAAGTGACGAAAATTTAATTTATTTGTGCGGACTTTTGAATTAAATGTGCAGCAGTTCGTTGTTACTTGACTTGAAAAGGGAACAGTCAATCTGGCTTAAGAAACTAATGTGGGTTTTTGCTCCCAACGACTAAAAAGGAACGAAAATTCTTCTTTTTATTCTGTTGAAGAACTTAAGTTTCTTGTGAGTCTCAGGAGCAACAACATATCATAATCATTTCCATCCCATTTAAACATACAAAACCATTTAGTTCAATTCTTTAGATCCTGAAATCGAGTCCCATCCGATTCGATATGAGACTTTATTTCTGTGTAAAAATATGAATTCAAAATAATTTAAACAATTAGTACTGGTCTTACTGGTCATCCTGATGCCTGTGAGCTCCCGTCATTTCGCGCCGAGCTCGTTGTACCGTGATTGTTTTGCACGACAGGCTACTCGTTAGTAGTGTAAAATGGTATTCCAAGAT